CTCTTACCTATCGATGTGCAAGCAGCCTAACCTTTTCCAAACCAACTGCAACGGGAAACATTCCTAATATGATCTTGACCAGCATGTATTTTTATATTATTCGTTTGCCACCAGATCTCGAGAACAGATATCATGATGGATGTTGGGAAGAGTCTGAATCACAACTATAGACATAGGGCCAGATAGAGGGCGTTTTGTGCAAGGTCTTGTGACTAGAGTGACACTAGAGGTAGCTTGCCGATACACAGCAGATGGCCTTCCTGCCTGCCACTCGTCACACTGGCCAACTTACAAATACCAGCGTAGCCATATTGTGCTTTAGTAACAGAGCTTCAAATGACAAAACTCGTATATGCGGGATATTGAATGGAACGCGGTGAGTTTCATGTCAAACTTCACCATAATTATGCATCTTGATAGTTTAATCTGATTGTTAAAAATTATACACTAAACATCTAATTTTCTTATGCCTGTGTTGTAGGATGCACACCAGGAGATGACACGCGTGCAACATCTAATTAATGCCTGCCAGTAAAGAATATCATAGATTTGCCAGACTGCGGCGTTGTGTTTATATCATTTTCTGCTTAATTTAACTGTAGCATCATCGCTATGCAGACTTGTGAATTATGACAGAGTAATATTGATTGATTCTGATTGATTTCCAGCGTTGATCCATGACAGAGACTTGGAATTCAGCAGTTTTAGTGTGGCAGTACTATACGTTACTGTTCTTTTACTACAGTGACTTAACCCCCCTACCTGTAGCATTTACTGTGGAAACAGCTGCGGGGCCTCAGGTATACAGAAACGGAGATCAGGCCACCGCCTCTATGCGCTGGCTGCGTAGCTATACGCCTTATGCGGTATGATAGGCAGCGGGAATGATTTAACTTTTTATTAACTATACGTACTACTGGGTTTGATCTAAATTTCAAACCTAGAACCAGTGAATGGATACACCGTCTTATTCAATTGAAACGATGTAGCATATTGTTTGCTAGAGTTGCAGATCACATGTATTTAATTTAATTCCTTTCAGATAGAGATGAAGGGAAGCTTGGAATGTTTTAATTATGTGAAAGCCATTTTACAATTATTTATATGGCTTTGGGTGCATACGTTAGTTCTCTGCATGTTTCTGTATTATAGGTTGTCAGTGACTGTGACCAGTGGAGTTTAACGCTTGCACTACTGCGTACCTCGGAGAAACGCCCCGTGCAATATTCATCAAAGGTATGTTATACAAATGTCTCTGTTGTTCAATGTAAACTTCTTAAAGAGCATCGATTTTTAATACGTATTACCGCTAGCAAACATTTTCACTTGATATAATCTGGCACTTGACGAATATCTCGTAGTATATTTATGTGCAACCACTGATCTACGTGCCCTACACAAAAGTCGAACTAGAAATGCGTCTGTATATTATTCGCAGCTATATAACAACATATTGCTTTTATTTTCTAAAAAAAAAATCAAAATTCTTCGGTTTTTTTTGGCAGGCGGTGAGAACCACCGTTGCTGTTGGGCCCTCAACGTTTTCTTCGCAATTAAAAATGCCATCGGCGCGGCAGGAAGGGAGCAGATAGGCAGTTTCTGGTAGCTTCCAATTGACAGGCCAGCCAACGGTAAAGAACATCCTTCTGCCGTGTCCATCTACACTGCTGCCATCTACAGCTGGCAAGTCGCTGCATCTTGAGTTCTTTCTATACAATATTTTCTATTTTTATACGTCTACTCGGTGTACACAAGCTATTCTAATATTGCTGTACTCACCCAAGATCACATGCTGACGTTGGCCCAACACTATATGGCGCTGTCACACCTCCGTATGAAGCCAGCGAATACCGACGTATGAAAAATTTGGTGAATACATTGGGCGTGTACAGCGATTTTGGACCAGGGGGTCTAACCGTAACCCAAACTTCGCGACGCACGCGAGGGGAGGTCTGGCGGGGTTTCTGAGCGGTATCCCCCAGAAAAATTTGAAAATTAGACCCCTCAGGATGCGTTTTTCTGCGCTGAGGCAGGGGGGGGGCGGGTCCGGACCCCCCTGGACCCCCTTCTCACACGCCCCTGGAATACGTGGCGTACATCGAATAGTTATGGTTAAGCCGTTGTATAAATGTAAGAGCACGTTGAAGCACGCTGGTATACGTCGTAGAACGGCGAGCACGTCGGAAGATTTTGAGCAAGCTTACCCATAACTTATTCGACGTACGCCAGGGGGGGGGGTGACAGCGTCCCGAGGGTCATATATATGCTGGTATTACCCATGTGCCCGCTTCCAAATTTTGCGGATTAGGGTCGGTGATTGTTCAAATTCTAAAGCGGGGCCGCGCCGGGAGCAAATACGGCCCCCTTTTACAAGCTAATCCACAATAGCCCTCGGGATCGTTCAAGATCGAGCACCGCGCTCCGCTAGTATGCCTACTTCACGGCCCCCTCCATTCCCTCCACTCTTGCCTCACTTGTCTGCCAAGACCTCGCAATAGCGCGGGTAGGGTCCGGCGTAGGGACTCTTTATTGTGTATGCAATAGGGGGTGGGTATTTCATTGTGTATGGCAATTAGGCGGTGACTAGGGGTGGTATTCTTTCAATTGTGTCTGCAATAGGGGTTTAGGGTTTGTCAATAGTGCAGTTTCGCCACTAGGGGGCCTATTATTTTTAGTGAGAACGCACATGGGGTAATTACCGCGATATATTAGTGACCCCCCCAGGGGCCTAACCTTAACCAAACCCTATTTAAAAAATATATAAAAAATATAATTTTAATTGTTTTGTAAAATTAATTGTTGTTATTAAAATGTTCTAAATAAAATATGTAAATATTTGCCGTTAATGGAAAAAAATTGTTAACACGGATAAAGATTAGAAAATACAGAAAACAGGAATAATTATGAAACGGAGGGATTTGATCACCGACCTTTCAGCTTGATTCATGCTGTACTTCGATAGGCCCTTTGAGTGGATATTGGAATATGAATTTTTGTTATGTGCCTATGAATATTACGAACCTGTGACGTCTTGAGCGACGAAACAAGCTCAACCAATAGCAGCGCTCACTAGAGCCCTATGTTCTTGATTGACCTAGGGAAAAAAATCACGCGCCACCCTACCGTCATGACCATAGATATCATCAGGAGCGTATAATGACAAATATATAACACAAATATATAATACAAAATATTTTGTCATTATACGCTCCTGATATCATATAACAACATAGATATCATAGATATCATATATAATATATGACATATAATATAATATATAATATATAAATATTATATATATATAATAATATATAATATATTGATGTCATATATCATATGATATCAATATATGTATCAATCAATGTCAATATCAAATGTATCAATCAATGATATCATATATCAAATGATATCATATATTCATGTTATATGATATCATCAGAGCATCAATGGTCATGACTCATAACCATAGTGCTCGCGACTATAATTTATATCAATATGACTAGCAAATAAGTATCTAATTAAACAAGTCAAAATTATATATATATATATATATTATAAATAATAACTATATATATATAATATATATATAATATTATAAAAGCTCATACTGGGTAAACGTATTTTCTCTAGCGCCAGAACCAGTATGGCGGCCTCCATGAAACACATTATCAAGTTTGTTCGCGTTATATTCAGATGTTTCACAATTTGCTGCAACATAGAAATGTTATCACTTCCATTGTGTTTCGTATTTCTGCTACAGGGCATACAGTCAAAGAAAGCGGCGGGGAACTAGGAAGAGTTTGGTGAGCGTGCGGTTAATTTACAACTAGTTTACTAACACTTTAACATCTAGGACTAGTAGTCTTGAGTAGTACTGCATCAGGTTGCGCTCTCCCTACTTTAGTAAAGCGACATGGACATGAAAAAGTATAACGATGGTTAAACACTTAGTAACACTAATACTTACACTAATGTTAATGATCAATGCTGACATGACGTTGACTAGCCGACATGCTCTTCGACATTGCACGTCGTAGGACTAGACTCAGAGCCATGACAGTTAGACACCGTCGAACCGAAATACCTGCCGTTGCTTGAAAACAAAAAAACTTGAATTTCTGTAAATTTCGTAAATAAAACAATCATATTACCACATTTGACTTTCACTAGTTACATGCTTGCCAACATATCGCTACACTTTTCTTAATATACTATTTAACCTCAACATACACGTTTAAATAAGATAATTCGCAACAGCTTTTACTTTTGAACATTCTCAAACGCCATACTGGATGTTCTTATGTCTCTGTTTGTACTAATGTTGTTACTACTATTTTTTGCTACGTATGATGGATATCTATGGGAAATGGTGCTTTGTTCTAGTTTTATCTTATCGCAATATTTAATAATTGCTCGCTGACACCGTAATATACATACTCGTGATAGCGACTGTTATAATAAATTCGCAGGCGTGGAAGTACAGAAGAGCCGGGATAAGAATCATAAAAAGCTTTAGATAAATTATACGTTTAATAAGCACCGCACGTCATGCGAACGCGGTTGTTTGTCTTATCGCCGGCTTGCTGACCCTCTCGCCCCAACGTTAGTTTAAGTGAGATGGGTAAATTGTGGCTAATGTGTGACCAATGCCATTCTATGGACCATGCGGTTTGGCCCATGGCATGCAATACTCACATAACGATTTCACAACATCATCATTTTTACTGAGTCTGGTGTCTGTAGTTTAAATTTGTATACTCCTTTCACTATTATTTCAGTTTTTGGCCTTTGCTTAAATGCGCTAGTTCCTTAATTACAATATTTGCAACAGGAAAGCCTGGAAAGGGACGCGAAATGAAGGTGCTCTTCCCCCAAAGTTTCAAGCTGTGCAAACATAAAAATCAGGGCAAAAATGGATTTATTTTAACATTGCCATGTTGCTACTGTGCCTATAATCTGTTCGTTAGGGTAAAAAAAAATTGTTCAGGAATATGTTCATTCAAGCTTTTATACTTACAAGTGAAATGTGGTCTGTCGAATGATTCAAACAGGAGTTTACTTTTAGCCAACTCTGCGGCGGTGCTTGTACACGTTCTCTTTTGTTGCCATGCGGATGTTGCCAAGCGACTGAAGGTCATGAAGGGCTGCGCCATATGCTCATAGTTCATATAACACATGCTGTTATATCAGGGTGCGTCACAACCTAAAATTCAAACAATGTGAAACTGGGGAAATTTAGAGGAGTACTTTAGATATTATGTGAAATGAAGCGCACATCACAAGCGCGGAAGCATGATAGTCACTTGGGGCCGGGGTCCAGTGAAGCTCGGTGGTTTTATTGTGCGATACGTAGTTGCTGACAAAAATCAGAATAGTGTAAACGCAGCATAACATCCTTTGAGCCATGCATGTATGCTATTCGCCGACATTCTCACATATTTCAAGGTCGCTGCAAAAAAAGCGGCCCGCCGAGGCACGCTGTCTGTGGCCTGTGCACATCGACGCTGATACATGCTGGCTAGCTGGGTGTGGCATATGATTGAAAGTACGGGGCGGGGGGCCACGATTGTTTTTCAGTCGCCGTGGTGCTACATCACTACTAAAATGTATGGGGTTCCGGGCACGACGGCCTGAACTATGAGAGAGCCGACAGCAAAACTCTTTCCTTTCGAATTGAGGAAAAAGCTACAATGCGGGAATGACACCACGAGTGTGCCGCGCACGCAAAATAAACGTTCGTGAATTTCATGGACGATTTTCCACATGCGATATTACGTTCTATAATCCTACGGCGTCTACGTATCGCACGCACGCAGATACACAGGACCACCCACGCAGCATGCACGCACGCACGTGTGCAGGCATGGTGCCGCAGCCGCACACAGGACGTGCCACAGGCACGCGCCGCTATAGAATCAGAGCAAGCAGCTCAGAAAACGTTAGACCGGCAAGTGAGGAGCCATGCACAAGTTAAACAGTGTAATAGCACTGTAATAGTGTATGCTACAAAGCGGCGCTGTGACAAATATTGGGGCCGCCAAGTGTCGCATGGGATATGATTTCGTTATGAAATCATGATTTTTGTAACGAAATCGATGTTTACAAATTGATTTTCGTTACGAAATACAACTACTGCTAGTGATTTTCGTACGAACAATCAGCTACTGCGAGTGAATTTCGTTACGAAATCAGCTACTTACGCAGTGATTTCGTTACGAATCATGCTACACTTGCGCGCGCCGGCACGCAAGGTACCCTCGCATGACTTGATTTCGGTTACAAAATTATTTATTTCATAACGAAACAAGTCTACAAAGTGAATCATTAAGTGAGTCTTCATAACGAAATCACTCACAGTAGCCTGATTTTGCTAACGAAATCGACTCGCCAGTAGCTGATATTTGTAACGAAATCACGTCGCCAGTTTAGTTGATTTCGTAACGAAATTCACTATTGCAGACTTGATTTCAAACCCGAATCAGTCATGCGACACTTGGGCCCCCTATGTGCACTACTGACTATACGATCGTCCCGTTCTGACAGTTGGCATGTACAGTTGCATCATTTTGCTTTTGTTTGTGCTTGATTTCTTGCTTTGATATTTCAAACTGGTCGCCTGAAATTCAAACCTGTTCGGCCCAAAACTCAAACCTGTCGGCCTTAAATGTTAAAACCCTTGTGCGACCACACTGCCGTTATAATGTAATATCTATAGCAGTGCTGCGTTACTAGTGAACTGTCGTACGACTCTTGCCGCCATGATACAGAACATGACGAAACACGTTTCTTCGATTTTTTTTTTCGTTTGTCGGGAATATAGCTTGATATATTTTTGCTTCAGTTAAAGTGTAGCCTGAGTTATTTTGCCTATGTTATTTACAGTGCGCGTTGTCACAAAAATGTGCGAGGTAATGCTATCTTTAATTAAATGATATATACTTTTTTTATTTTCACACATTGTGAAAATAATATTCACATAAGATGTATTATATTTGCAAATCATATGAAATTATACACATTACGGCTGCTGCTGCTGGTGTGTTGTGACACCGAATGCATTCATAATGGTTCTTTATTGTACATTCACTAAGGAAACATACACGCATATTAAAACATTACTGCACCACGAAGTATACACTTAACAAGTATAACAGTCCTCAGACAATTTATATAGGAACACGTGTGTAAATATAAATGTGTAAAACTAGCAAAGAAGTATAAGTCATATATGCGTCAGGTAATTATAAGTAACGAACACGCAGGTGCATATGAAATGAGGATGCTGTACGAATACTATTATAGATCTCTAGAATAAGAGAATAAATGACTTGTGTATATTTATTATTAATTCCAGCAGAAGATGATTTTTCAAGCTTTAACTTGACACCCAAGAAAGAAGGTGGGCAGGAACGAAGAAAGAGATTCGAATTTGAGGTGGGCATATTATACCACAAAATAAAGTGACCAGGCTTTGTTGTTGATCAAGTTGATCATTGTTCCGCGTTCAGTTATCGAGTTAAACTTTTAAAACTTCTGTATGTCGAAAAATCGTTTCTGTGTTTAGACACCCACTTGGACTTTTTAGTGCCATTCACTCTAACGACATGCCTGTCGTGTTGAATGTCCCCTGGGATGTTACGGGCGTACCACCTTCATAATCGTTCCGCCCGCTTCGCATTTCTATATGTTACCATGTGCGCTTCCGGTTTTCCGATTCGCCTTTTTGATGTAACCAGTGCTAGTGGAAAACAGTCAACAATGTCAAAACACGATTGAAAGATGTTGCCGAAATACCAAATAACTGTCCACATTGAAGAATATACTCCCGTAAACTTGATATAAAGTTCTTATTATTCTCAATCGTGTTTTGACATTGTTGACGATTTCCACCATCAAAAAGGCGAATCGGGAAAAACCGGGAGCGCACATGCGGGATAACATATAAAAATGCGAACGGTAACGATTAATGAGGTGGTACGCCGTAATAACATTATTAATTATTTAGCTGTATATTCTGCGTTGCATAATTTGTGCTAGGTTAGCAGATAATAATGAAACTGAAATTTTCTCCCTAGACCATCCCACACGACAGCTACAGGATGCTATAGACCAGGGATTGGACAAGTGTATGGCCAGCAGCATCACATTTCAACAGCATCGCTTTGCTTACACTGCCTATTCAGGATGGATGCGGATACAAAAGATGGTCAGTCAACGCCTCCCTCAAAGGTAAATTTGACAATAAAAAATTATTTAAATATTTAAAATCAGTGATTGGGTACCTATTTTTACGCATGCAATATATAAAAAAGCATATATTCGTGCCCGAAATGGACGGTCGCCCACTCGCCACCAGGCGGACAATGTCTAGCTCGGGCGCACCGCAATTGCCCCCACAAAGTCGAGTAGTCACTGCCGTCCAAAAAAAAAGCTTTGGGCGTACTGCCAATATTTCAACCAAGTTGTTCTTTGTTTACTAACTAATCATAATCCTTAACGGAGTCCAACGGTGAGTTAGGATACAAATCAGACCCACTCACGATTTTCGTTCCGCACCAGCTTGCTGACGCGCGCGGGGTAGACTGGTACTCTTCGACCTCCGCTAACACTGACATCTAGCATAGCACGCGCAGTGGGTACCGTCTAGCTGCTGAAAAACCAGCTCTAAGGAAGCTTGCAGCATCTGTATACAGCGTACAGCGACTTGGGCCAAGCTTCAATTCTAAAATTAATCTAAGAAAATGTTGGTCGCTAAAACTTGCCTAGTGACACAGAAATGCGGGGGCTTTGATAGCATGGCCTGGGGTTTTCTGAAACGGGATCGGGAGCGGGAATAACGCGAAGAATAAAATTGGAATGCTGTTTTGAAAATATTTTGTGTTGTTTTTACTGATAAAAAAAATTGGGCCGTCCAACATCCATTTGGGCCAGTGCCCTTCAAAAATTTACTCGCCCAAAAAAATTGTCCGCGCAGCCTACGGCCTCTCATTCAGGCCACTGTTAATCAGATTCATTTATTTTCTTACAGTATGAAACTGCAGAGCTTCATGAAAGATACCAAAACTTTGCTCCGATCTGATCTCACTCCACATCAAGAAACATTGTGCAAGACAATTATAAAGTTATTAATCTGGTTGACATTATTATATTACAGTACTAGCTATAAAATAAGTGATTCTATACTCCATGGGGCTTAGTCGCGAAAAAAAAGCAATCAGACAGCCACTGGGTAATGCCTATACTTGTATCAAGATTGGATATTTATTAAGGATACTGTCAATGCTGTTCGGCTAGGTGATTTTCAGTCAAACATTCGATACCCTTTTGTATTTTATAGATGTGCCAATGGAGCTATGTATACATTATGTATGTTAGCCTCTCCAAACAGTTTTCAAATTCCCCCGCATAAGCTTACCTGGCTATTGCAAACCCCATAATTGCTCTTTAAGTTATAGTGATGTCTGATTCGCGCCGCCTACAGCACCCCGGCAAAGAATCAGCAGCTGTTTCTGGCATCCGACTGTTGCTACAGCTGCGTTTGCTGTACAAGGAGATGATATTTGTTGGGCGGCTGAACAGGAGCTTAAGACAATGGACTTATTTTGTCTATTTTTTGCTAACAGCAGGACTTTTTTTAGTGCTACCTTTTTTGTCATACCGCCTACATTTCGGTTTGTGTCACAGAATTTTTGCATCTCTGAATGGCCCAAACAGAATCTGACCACTCCAAAGCCATGGAAAAGCCACTTTCCTGTTGAGGTGAAGTACAGTGACTCTGTTACTCAAAGCCAAGCATGACGTAAGAGGCCTTTCAGTCCAGAATCGTCACACTCTCGCGTATTAAATTGTGCTATCATTATGTTCTTTAATGTTATAAACTTATATGCCTGTCTTTGAAAACCTATGTTATATCGCGTGTGATCAGTTATTTTTCTTGACAACTACGTTACTGTTTGGTCAATTTTCAGCTTGTGTACATTAGATTTGTATGTGGTTACTTGTGTATTGTAGCTCATGTCCTATATAATAGCGGTTTCCCCCATGGCAGTTTCTAGAAGCGGATAGTCAGGTATAATCAGGTAATTATCGCCTAATTGCTAATTAGATGTTCAGTACACGTGTTTAAGCAGGCCCAATTACACAGGGTGACTTAATCAGTTTGGAAAAGTATACATTGCGCTGTGAAACACAGAATGACCTGGGATCTTTCTAAGTTGAAGGACAGCGTTTCAAATCTAGAGCATTGTTGATTAGGCAATTAAAGGCCATGCTAGGGGATTTATGGGACATTACAAATTGAGCTTTCAGTTTGATGGATGTTCAGACCCGGATATGGCTGTACACTGCGTATACTATGCTCTCTACTTAGCTACTAAATTATCTATCAGGCTGAGGATACTTTTCCTCATTTTAGGTTGGAAATGTCTTCTTCTGGAGCTTGATTTTATCATGCTAGGCGAATAAGCTGCTACGATGGTTGGAGATCAGTATAATGCAAAACTGATACAGTTGACATCTTTGCAGACAGCGTATGTGTTACATACAAGGATGCTTAAAACTTATGCATGGGATACAAATAAACTGGTGTGCCAGGTGCACCCAAAAATTTAGCTGTGCACTCTGTGTATGTACTACGTGCATGTACCCTTGGCATGCCCACCTGAAAAATCCCAACTGTTAGTAATTTACTCTAAAGCCAATTTTAGACATAGGCTGGTGAAAAATACTGTTAATTATGTAATCGATTCTACTATGCTGTTGTGCTACCACAACCCTTGATGGTGTATTCTGGCCATCCTATAAAATTTATGTGGGGAGGGATAGGTAGTCTTCTTTAGCTCAATCTGACAGTAGTCAGATGCAGCTATTGTAGATCGCATTGAGCGTGCGTGCGTCCGGTCCGTCCGTCAACAGTTGGGCACAAAATCTAACGCTTCGACGTACCGTCACGATATTCGGGACGTGGGGCGGTAATCCAGAAAACGAGTGGAGATGTCCGAAGCTGGCGGGTCAAAGAGTCAAGAGGTGTAATAAGCGAAGCGGCGACACTTCCCGTCCTTAATTAAGGTATAGGGAGGAAATGCAGAATTGCGGCAGCAAATCTAAACTGGCTCGACCTAGCGCTCGGTGATAGTCGGTGTATTAGCATCATGGTAGGAAGCCACTCACTGTGCCGAAATTGGACGCGTCACAGGTCAAATGCGTCAATGGGCACAGGGCTAGAATTCTTAGACAATTTTCTGAGGACATTGTGTCTACGGAGCGCATTGAAAACTTTTTTGTTCAGCGGTGAACTAGCATTTTTATGGACCTTTATTGAAAGCGACCGATGAAATGGTTGCTTTCACTGACGTGACCCGAAAGAGTTAACGTGATCTGATAACCTTTTGACCCGTCAAGAGGAGGTATAAAACATGGATTTGGTATTGTTTAGAAAGAATTTGACTGCCGGGTTTGCTAGTAGAATCTATTAACATGCCTGGAGGTATGAGGCTGTACAATGTCAGTGAAATTTCAAATGCCCTAATTTGGTTGAAGAAGGAAATTTCTATAGCATTCTGTACTGTCAGTGTGTTACATGTAACGGTATGCCACTGCCAGTGTCTTACTGTTGTAGTTTTTGCCTGCATTTAATTAGTTACAGGTGGCCAGCTCTCTATTTCAGCTCGTAGCTTGCCGTAGGTAAAATGTATGAGTGCTTACCTTTTCTGTTCTTGCCAATTAGTTTGTGCTACTACGTACGATGGCCGCGAGCTCCATCTATTAATCTGAAGACACTTAAACGTACGCGCCATCTCGCTGGCCCAACTTTCATAACGATCCCAACGGATACATTCCTTTGAAAAGGTTCCTGATACATCCTGCATGCTCTCCACTGTTTTCTGAGCGACCGTGTATGTGGAACATTATGGCGACTAACATGGGTTTACTAGAATCCGACCACTCCACCACAGGGTCACCGCAGTAGACGTTAGATGAGCGCTGTCGCCTCCGCCGGCACTTACTTTGTGAGGCATAATAGTTATTTTAAGGTCTGTCCTCATGTTTGCAACATGCTTTGCGCGTTTCAGTTCTTAACTATGAGGAATGTAAAAAAAAAGGAACCAAAATGCTAAAAAAAAACTTATTGGGTCGCAGCGTTATTTTTGTGCTGGCGTCGGCGTAGGAGGACAGCAAATCATAATATTTTAAGGATGGCCTGTAATTAGAAAATTGATCCAGTAGCATTTTCTAATCTGCAACCTGCAAACGTTTAATTTCGCACCCATATTAGTGCAGGGCGGATCCAGGGGGGGCGAGGGGGGCGGGTCGTGCAGGCGCGCGTAGTGCACCCCCCTTCCCACGCAAAGTGCCCTTTTTCCCCAAGTTCGCCTTGTTAAAAAAAACGGTATGTTTTGCCCGCTCGGCCTGTATCGACAAGTATTTGACTCAGTCATGACTCGTTCAAGCACCTCATTTTCTCACTGCAGCAAGAACAAGTCCGCCACCTGCAGCTCAGCACACACGCGGCCATTGACTTATATATAACAACAATATATAGTCAATAGTTGTTGTATATAGGCAATGGCTGCGTTTTTACCTACCCATGCGAGCATTCACTGATTCAGCCTTCAGGGTGCTATAGAGACTGCTTTAGAAAATAATATGATTTAAGGAGCGTAAACCTTGTTCAACAAACATTTGCTATTGCAATTCAACTTGCAACTGTAGCCTCACATTCACACAGGTATGGGCTCTAATAATAGCAAAAGTAGTTCAGTCCTTTGTTAACAGTCAACAAATCAATGTTTAACCCTCCTCTTGAGGGTCAAAAGGTTATCCGACACTTACTCTTCGCATGTCAGCGGAAAGTACATTTCATGGTCCTTTCAATAAAGCCATAAAAATGGTAGGTCACCGCTGAAACAAAAAAGTTTTTCAATCGCTCCGTCAGACCATGTCATCAGAAATGTATAAAATCTGCCCTGTGCCCCATTGACCTTTGACCTGTGACCTCCAATTTCGGCACAGTGATGGCTTTTCCTACCATGATGCTATACATCGACTATCACGAGCCGTTTAGATTTGTGCCGCAATTCTGCATTTCCTCCCTATACCTTAAGTTAAGAAGGGAATGTTCCCCCTTCATTTACACCTCTTGACCTTTGACCTTTGACCCCCAGCTTCGACATCCCCAACTCGTTTTCGGATTATCCCCCCACGTCCCGAATATCGTGACCGTACGTCGAGCGGTTAAGATTTGTGCCCAACTGTTGACGGACGGACGGACGCACGCACGCTCATGCGATTCTACAAGCTGCATCTGACTATGTCAGATGAGCTAAAAAAGAAGACCTACCTACCTACCCACTAAATTTTTAAGGATGGCCCAGAATACACCATCAAGGGTTGTGGGTACACAACACAAGTAATGATTACATAATTACAGTATTTTCACCCACCTATGTCTAAAATTGCTTTAGAGTAATATTACTACAGTTGGGATTTTCAGGTGCATCAGGTGTACATGCACGTAGTACATACACAGAGTGCACAGCTAAATTTTTGGGTGCACTGGCACACCAGTTTATTGCATCCCTGCACTAGTTTTAACATCATGTATGTAACACATACCTGTCTGCAAAGATGGTCAATGTATCAGTTTTTGCATTATACTGATCTCCAACCAGTCGTAGCAGCTTATCCCTAGCATGATAATCAAGCTCCAGAGAAGACAATTTCACCTAAAATGAGGGAAAAGTATCCTCACCTGATAGATAATTAGTGCTAAGTAGAGAGGCTATAGTATACCAGTGTACACATGTCGGGTCTGACATGCCATCAAAGCTGAAGCTAATTTGTAATGTCCCATAAATCCTCCTACATGCCTTAATTGCCTAATCAACATGCTCTAATTTGAACCTGTCTTTACTTGTGAAAATCCCAGCCGTCATTCTGTGTTTTCACAGCGCAATGTATACTTTTCCAAACTGATTAAGTTCACCTGTGTATTGGGGCCTCTTAAGACACGTGTACCCGACTCTAATTAGCAATTAGGGATAAATTACCTGATTACCTAACATTCCTTTTGAAACTCCTGGGGGAGAACCCTTTATACATGAGCACAAATGCATATACACAAGTAACCACATACAAATCTAATGTACACAAGCTGAAATTGAACAACAGAACGTAGTTGTCAAGAAGAAGAACTGATCACAATATAGCAAGGTTTTGCAAAGACAGCATATAAGTTTTATAACATAAAGAACAATAATGATAGCACATTTTAATACCGAGAGTGTGACGATTCTGGACTGAGGCTCTCGTATGCTTGGGCTTGAGTAACAGAAGTCACTGTACTTCACCTCAACAGGAAAGTGCTTTTCCATGGCTTTGGACGTGGTCAGATTCGTTGGCCATTCAGTGCAAAATTCTGTGACACAAACGAATATGTAGGAGGTATGAACAAAAAGGTAGCACTAAAAAAAGTCCTGCTGTTACAAATACATAGACAAAATAAGTCCATTGTCTTAAGCTCCTGTTCACCGCCCACAAATATCATCTCTTTGTACACAAACGCGCGTAGCAACAGCGGATCAGAACAGCTGCTGATTCTCTTGCCGGGGTGCTGTAGAGCGCGCAATCATGACATCACTATACTTAAAGAGCATTATGGGGTTTGCAATAGCCAGGTAAGCTTATGCGGGGAATTTGAACTGTTTGGGAGGCTACATACAATATCTACGTATACATAGCTGCCCATTGGCACCATCTATAAAATAAAAAGGGTATTGAAATTTTGACTGAAAATCACCTACCAACCATGACAGTATCCTTAATAAATATCCAACTTGATCTAGTATAGGCATTACCAGTGGCTGTCTGATTGCTTTTCCGAATAAGCCATGGAGTATAGAATCACTTATTTTATTCTAGTACTGTAAGTATAATATGTCAACCAGAATTAATACTTTTAATTGCTTCACAATGTTTCTTGATGTGGAGTGGAGTCAGATGGAGAAAGTTTGGTATCTTCATAAGCTCTGCATTTCCATACTGTAAGAAAATAAATGAATCTGGATATATACAGTGCCTGAAATGAGAGCCGTAGGCTGGCGCGGAAATTTTTTTTGGGCGAGTAAAATTTTTGAGGCACTGGCCCAAATGGATTGTTGGAGGCCCAATTTTTTTATATAAAAACAACACAAAATATTTTCAAAACACATTCCAATTTTATTCTTCGCTTATTCTCCGCCTCCCCGACCCGTTTCAGAAAACCCCAGGCATCTTTCGAAGCCCCTGCCATTTTCTGTGTCACTAGGCAAGTTTAGCGACCAACATTTTCATTTGTTAATTTTAGAATTGAAGCCTTTGCCCAATCGCTGTACTCGTAACAGATCGCAACTTCCTTAGACTGGTTTTCAGCACTAGACCGGTACCCACTCGCAGTTGCTATGCTAGATGTCAGTGTAGCGGGAGAGTCGAAGAGTACCAGTCTACCCCGCTGTCAGCAAGCTTGGTCGGAACGAAAATGCGTGAGTGTGGTCTGATTGTATCCTACCGTGGACTCCGGTTTAGGATTATGATTAGTTAGTAAACAAAGAACAACTTGGTTGAAATATTGGCAGTCGCCCAAGCTTTTTTTGGGACCAGTGACTACTCGACTTTGTGCAATTTGCGGTCGCCCGAGCTAGACATTGGTCGCCTGTGGCGAGTGGGCGACCGTCCATTTCGGGCACTGATATATATGCTTTTTATATATTGCATTCTAAAAAATAGGTACCCAATCACTGATTTTTAAAATATTTAAAATAATTTTTTTATTGTCAAATTATACCTTTGAGGGAGGCGTTGACCCATCTTTTGTATCCCATCCCATCCTGATAGGCAGTGGTACAACCGATGCTTTGAATGTGGATGCTGCTGGCCATACACTTGTCCAATCCTGGTCTATAGGCATCCTGTTACTTCGTGGTGGCATGGTCTAGGGAGAAAATTTCAGTTTCATTATTATCTCTAACTAGCACAAATTATCAATACCAGATATACAGCTAAATAATTAATAATGTTGTTACGGCGTACCACCTTCATAATCGTTCCGGTTCGCATTTTATATGTTACCCCATGTGCGCTCCGGTTTTCCCGATTCGCCTTTTTGATGTAACCAGGCTAGTGGAAAACGTCAACAATGTCAAACACGATTGAGAAATAATAAGAACTTTTATTCAAGTTTACGGAGTTTAATTCTTTCAATGTGGACATTATTTGTATTTCGCAACATCTTTTTCAATCACTAAAAGTGACATTAGTAGAGATCACGTACGAAATCGCCGGAAAAGTGACTTTGAACGCCGGTAAGAAAACATAACTTTGGAAACTGT